CCGATCCTTGTCTTTTACTAATGTCGCGCTAACCGCGAAGTCAAATACGACCAAGTAAAGGGTCAAGACCTCTCCTTCATGAGGACTCACTAACACTGGTGTAGAAGCCAAATAAGCCTTGAGGGCCTGGAAAACTTCTTCACATTTTTTGTCCCACTGAAATGCTGCCTTCAAAACCTTGAAGAAAGGCTGGCACTTATTGCTGGAACGTGATAGAAATCAGTTGAGTGCAGCTCTTCTCCCGGTCAGGCATTGTATTTCTCGTGTGTTGGTGGGGGCTTTCATCTCGAGGATGACCTTTACCTTTTCTAGTTTTGCCTTGATCCCTCTGCTGTTGACTATGAAACCTAAGAACTTCCTTGCTGATAGCCCAAAGACACACTGTGTCGGGTTCAACTTCATTCTATACTATCGTATAATTCCAAATGCCTCCTCGAGGTGTTAAATGTGGGACTCGACTTTGAGCGACTTCACAAGCATATCATCTATATATACCTCCATGGTCGAGCCGAGCTTTTCACGGAACATCCTGTTGACCAACTTTGATAGGGGGCCCTAGTATTCTTTAGTCCAAAAGGCATAACCTGATTGCAGAAGATCCCTTGTTCTGTGATGAACAAAGTTTTCTCTTGGTCATTCGGATCCATTCTAATCTGGTTATACCCCAAGAAAACATTCATGAAGCTAAGGAGCTCATGTCCAGCTGTAGCATTGACTATTAAGTCGATCCGGGGCAACGAGAAACTATCCTTGGGACATGTTCAGTTCAGGTTGATGCAAAGTCGCCATTTGCCATTTATTTTCTTCATGAGCATAACGTTAGCTAGCAAGGTTGAGTAATCCACTTCCCTGATGATTTTGGCTCATAGCAACTTTGCCACCTCCTCATTAATGATTTTCTGTCTATTTGGCGTGAAACTCCTCCTTTTTTGATGCACTGGCCTGCAGTTCAAATTATTGCTAAGCCTGTGCATAATAACCACGGGATCTATCCCTTCCATATCCTCTTGTTTTTAGGCAAAAACGTCAACGTTGTCTTTCAGAAATGAGATGAGCTTTTTCTTAATGAACGGGAGCAGCATGGAGCCCACAAAGACTATGTGCTCTGGGTCCTCGTCCAACTGCACGGGTTCTAATTGCTCTGTGGGGGTAGGCCAGGTTTCCAACTCATCCCTTATATCTAAGTCCTCCAGTTGGACTGATTCAACCTCCTTTTGCCTCATTGATGCCACATAACACTCCCTGGCGAGGCGTTGGTCTCCTTTGACTATACCGACCCCATTCTCTATGGGGAACTTCATCACCAAATGATAAGGTGAGGGTATCACCTTGATGAAGTTGAGGACGACCTTCCCAGTAGGACGTTGTACGTAGAAGGGGCATCCAAACCCAGAAAACGGGCGGTGGTTATAACCTGGCAAGGTTGATCTCTTACGGTGAAGATGAGTTGGATAGAGCTGATTGGCAAGACTCTTTCACCTGAGAAACCATAGAAAGGTCGAGGCCGATATCATTTTTTAGGGGTTCGAGCCTCGACCTTTCTATGCCAAGCTTATCAAAGATAGATAAGAAAATGATATCGGCCGAGCTGCCGTTATCGACGAGCACTCGATCTATAGTTTTGTTCTCGTGATGATTGTCTTTATGTCCAGGGCGTCATCATGCAGGTGCAAGCACCCTTCGAGATCCGTGTCAGAAAAAATGATCTCTATATCTCGGCGGGGTGCCTTACTGATGTCCTAGATCTTGAGGAAGTCTTTCGATTGGGCTCTTCTAGTGTGCACCTTCTGCGCTGAGCTGGACTTACCCCTCCTGCGAAACCCCCCAAGATGACCCAGATTTTACCAAGAGCTTGTTGGTGCTACTAAGGAGGTGTTACGACAGCTCGAGCTTCCCGCCCTTGATTATTTTGTGTTCTTCCTTCTCCTAACACGTAGTGGCGCAGGTGTCCCCTCTGGATTAGGTATTCGATCTCCTTCTTGAGCTAGATGCAGTCGTTTGTTTCATGGCCCGTGTCTTTGTGGTACTCACAGTATTTGGAGGCATCTCGCCTATTGGGGTCAGACTTCATCCAGGGCAGCCATCGGATAAACCTTTCGTTCTTAACCTCGTGGAGGACCTGAGTGATCAAGGTAACAAGGGGTGGAAGCCGTGCTGGGGAATATCGCGACTATAATTCCTGTGGAAGGGATCCTAAGCAGTCTCGGACATTGCCTCTTCTCTTAGGAGAAGGTTCCTTCCCTCTCCTTGGGGAACGGTCTATCCTCGAGGACCGATCGTGTCTTTTCTCTTTCCAGAGACTGCGGTCCCTCTTCTTCTTGTCTCCTTCTGCAACCGTCGGCTTTCTTTCAGGCGGAGGGCCTCTTCGCCATTTATGTATTTCTCAGCTTTCGCTAATACTTTGGCCATAGTGCCTTGAGGGTTCTTTGCAATTGAGAAAAGGAGGTCCTTGGACTGTACTCCAAGCCCGGACATGAAGGTGGTTAGCGTGAATTTGTAATCCACACTTTTCACCTTCAGACATTCCTAGTTGAAGCGTTGCACGTAGCTTATGAGGGACTCGTTGGGTCCCTGTTTGACGCTCAGAAGGTGGTAGGATGGTTTCCTGTACATCATTGCTCCGATGAAGTATGACACGAATTGTATTGATAGTTCCCTAAAGGAGGAGACTAACGCTGGTTATAGCTTGTTGAACCAGGCTATTGCCAACCCCTTAAGGGTGATGGCAAAAGCTTGGCAGCAGATTGGGTTTTGATACCCTTGGAGTTCCATCTGATTTTTATAGGAATTCAAGTGGTCAACTAGGTCCTTGGTCCCTTTGAATGTCTCCATCGATGACATCTGGAACTTTTAGGGGAGAGAAAAATAAAGGACCTCGGGAGTGAATAGCGACTCAGTTTGCTGGACCAAAGCGTCCATGGTATCGGGGGTCTTTCCTTTAACCACCTCGTTTACATTGCCTAACTCCCGCTAGAGTTCGCCGATTTTTTGCTCCCACGTATGATCATTGGCATCCCGCAGGGGGTGGGGTCTATCTTCTAGAAATGTGGCTCTAGCCCGACTATTTGCTTCATCTTCATCGTGTTCGTCAGGGTGTCTCCTCCGGTGATTTTTCCCAAAGTGGCTGCGCTCATGGAGTTCAATGACTCCATTTGTTGGAGCCTGACACTCCTCATAAGGGGCGTCTCATTCCACTGGGGGAGGAAGGGGCTCTTGTCGAGCTGGTGGGAACCGAAAGAGCTGATGTGTCTGTATCCACTCTATCAGTTCTTGGTTCTGCTTTATTAGTTGCATTGTAGTTCGTTGGTAGATTTCTAGTTCATTGAGTGAGGGGTGGTTCGCTGCTGGGAATTGATCCTCGGCGTCCACTTCAGGGACTGAAAATTTCTCTGGTAAGTTTTGGTGGATATGGGGATTGGCGGGAGCTTTACTTATGTTTCGAGTTAAAACCATTAAAATAGATAAAAAATCAAAAGAAAAATGATAAAAACCGTTCCCACATACGGCGCCAACTGATGGGGTCTTAGAAATAATAGTCCAAGTCCAATCGATGAGTTGCTACTTGGAGTATTGAGTTCAATTGAGTTTGAGGTTGACTTATGAATAATGGAATGCACAAAGTGTAAGTGGCTCACCTTAGCCGAAAGACTGAGGCTACATCCACTATAATGGAGTCTCTTGTTCCTTAAGGTCGTGTATTGAGATCAGATGAGTATATTGAGACTGTTGGCACTGAGCCTTTACAAGGACTTATGCTTAGTTCGTTGTGTATCTAGGGCTAAGAAATACAGTGGGGGAGATCCTCCTCTAGTAGGTTGACACTGTTCTATTTATACCAGTCCTTCCTTCTAGGGTTCCCGGTGGCTCCTTCTAGCTTTTTATTGATTCTGTGGGATTCTCCGTCACTGTCCTGCAACAGTCTCTACTGTTCGGCGCTGCTATGTCCATGATCTCTGAATCGTTATGCGTACCACCATTCTCTGTGTCTGAGAGCGTGCAGCTGCCACGGGCGTCAGAGATGGTCTCCCTGTTCTTTGGACACATGGTATGGCGGGGTGCTCCCAGGGCAAGGACTTGGCTTCTCAGTACTGGGTTATCCTTGGGTTAGTCGTTGAGTTGGGCTTGAATTGTGCTGTTGGTCCTTTGGTGCCGTTGGGCTTTCTCCTTTTGGCCTTTTCTACTATTCGACGTGGGCTGATTGGGGTGAGAGTCTTCTGGGTTTATTGAGCTCTGGGGTTATGGCGGCTCATGCCTAAAATTTCGCCCTTATCAATATATATATAATATCACAAATACACAAACCTCACCCACCCAGGCACTCTTTTCTTTACTTAAAAAAAAAAACTTTCCTTTATCTTTTTTTTAATCTATTTGTTATATAATGGGGTTTCATTCTTCTTGTAGAACCATTTGTGAGGTTTTATTATTATTTTTAATTTTTTCTTAAAATCATATAAATTAATTATTATAGATGGGGACGGTGGCGGGAATGGGGACAAGGATGAGGATTAAAATAAACCCGCTGGGCAAGGACGAAGGTGACAAATTTTTTTGTTAACGAGCGTATACTCGAGGTGGATAAATATTTTTTAAGTGGGTACGAGAGTGAAGACTATTCCCCCCGCCACCACTCCTGCTCAGTCCACTGTCATCCCTAGTCATGTGAGTATTATAGTTTGATCATTTAACATGCTACATATTGTCGAAGAAAGCTGAGAGAGAGAGATCTGAAAACTAACTAGAGTTCTGTTCTTGTCTATGCACAATAACAAAAAAAATTGAAAGCGAGGGGGGCATTTGTAATTTGTCTTCCTAAATTGCTAACGGTGTTGATTTGCTTTTTACATGTCGACGTGTAGAGCTCTTTTTTCTCCTTTTCGGAATATAGACAAACTCCACTCACTCTCTCTCTCTCTCTCTCCTCTCTCTCTCCGCATACCATTCCTCTGCACAAAAGTCTCGCAAGTCCACACGGTCATTCTGTTTCCGCNTCTCTCTCTCTCTCTCTCTCTCCGCATACCATTCCTCTGCACAAAAGTCTCGCAAGTCCACACGGTGATTCTGTTTCCTCGCAAGTCACTGAAAACTCTGAGGAAGCTCCATGTCTTCTTGGTCTCGAAGCTATCATCGCCAGTCTCTTACCTAAAAAGATTCGACCATCGCATTTGCAAGTAATTCTGCTGTAATATTCATTCTCATATATATTTTGTATCAAGCTCAATCTCACACTCATAGGTAAGCTTTTAATGCTCCTTAATTTTGACATCTTGAATTCAATTTAACTTGCTTCCTTGATTCAATAATTGCATTTTACTTTGTGTAAATTATCTTAGAAATGTATGATTTTGGTGCTTGAATCATCGAGTATTTTCCGTAGTTCAAACTTAATGGAGAGAAGGAGAATTAATTTGCTTGTTTGATTCAGTAATTGCATATAGCTTTATGTGAAGTAATTGAAAGATTGAATATCACCCAGACACAAGCATTAGCTGCAACTTTTTTGAGCTTTTCGTGCAACAGCAGTTTAATTTTGGCATCTTGAATTCAATTTTCAGGAGTTTATACTTTATAAAGAGGAGGAGAATAAATTTGCTTGCTTGATTCATTAATTGCATACAACTTTATGTAAATTAACTTAGAAATGTATGATCTTGATGCTTAAATAATAGAGTGTCACCAAAACTTTAACATTAGCTGCGAGTTTTGTTGATCTTTTCGCGCTACATAAGTTTAATTTTCATGTCTCAAATTTCAATTTTCAGCAGCTCAGACTTTATAGAGAGAAGGAGAATAAATTTGTTTACTTGGTTCATTAATTGGATGTAGCTCTATGTAAAATGACTTAGAAACGTAGGATCTTGATGCTTAAATAATTGAGTGTCAATAAAAACTTTAACATTTGCTCTGAGTTTGCTTGATTCATTCGTGCAACATCTGTTTAATTTTTACCTTTCCGGATTTCAATTTTCAGCAGTTTAATCTTCATTGAGAAAAGGGGAATAATGCAAGTTTTTTCAAAAATCTTAAGGACGCTTTGGAACCTATGGGAGCTCCGTGCACTGGTTCTACTCAGCCTCTCCTTACAGATTATACTTATCATCTTCAGCAACCGGAGGAAGTACAGCAAGGGGAATTTGATCAGAGCCATTATTTGGCTCGCATACTTATCGGCTGATTGGGTTGCAACAGTTTCGCTTGGTGTCCTCTCCAATGGTCAGGGAGATAATTCCCAGGATGATCAAAGCTACGTGATAATGGCATTCTGGGCACCTTTTCTTCTCTTGCACCTTGGTGGCCCAGACACCATTACTGCTTATGCCTTGGAAGATAATGAATTGTGGCTCCGACACTTGCTTGGCCTTATTGTCCAGGTAGGGGTGGCATTTTATGTCTTTGTTCGATCATTAAAGCCTTCTCAACTCAATTTTGCTGCCATTCCGATATTCGTAGCTGGGTGTATCAAGTATGGGGAGAGAACTTGGGTTCTCTGGTCTGCTAGCAGCCAGAATTTCAGAGAGTCACTGCTCCCACGTCCAGATCCAGGCCCTAACTATGCAAAATTCATGGAAGAATATATATTGAAAAAAAGCGAAGGGTTTGTATTATCATGGGATGCAACCCAAGTTTCTCATGATGAGGCTAATAACTCTGCAGCTACAAGAGAAAGGCTTTCAGATGTGGTCATTTTGAATGCTGCATATGACTTCTTCCTCATATTCAGGCGGTTGTTTGCAGATCTCATCCTCAGCTTCCAAGATCTTGAGAAAAGCCTACTATTTTTCCGGGACATTTACTGGGAAGATGCTTTCAAAGTGATAGAGGTGGAGCTCGGATTCATGTATGATGTCCTCTACACAAAGGCCCCAACTATTTATTCCTTATGGGGTGTTGCTCGTCGTTTCACCTGCATACTTTCGACTACCACAGCTTTACTAGCCTTCTGCATCATTGATTGGCATAAATACTTGCTGGTTGATGCGATCGTAACCTTTTTCTTGCTGGTTGGAGCCATTGGCTTAGAGATCTATGCAATTCTTCTCTTGCTTTCCTCAGATTGGACATCTCGCTGGTTGAGTAATCATTGGTCGGGCAAGCCTAACAATTGGCTTAGATTTATAACCAGCAAAAAGAAGTGGTCTAATTCCATGGCGCAGTACAATCTGTCATGTTCTTGCTTGAAATCTGAACCAACCATTTGTTGTAAAATCCTGAAGCTTGCTTGCATACACAGAACTATAGAGACTTACCTGTCTGGGAATTCAGAAGATGTTCCTCAGTATTTAAAAGAATCCATTTTCAAACAGCTTGCAGGGAGGTCTAGGAGAGCCCCACAATTCGGAGTTCGCAAGGAATTGTGTGCTTTAAGAGCGGACCAGGTACTTCAACAGGAGAATTGTAAACATGAACTTGGTTGGAGCTTTGACTTTGAATTTGACCATAGCATTCTTCTCTGGCACCTTGCCACGGATCTGTGCTATTTCTGTGATATTGAGAGTGATGGAAAAGATCCACGGATTAGTAGCAAATTGTTATCAGATTACATGATGTACATTCTAGTGAAGCGTCCTTATATGCTGCCCAATGGAATTGGGCAGATCAGGTTTCAGGACACCTGTGCTGAGGCCATGGAGTTTTTTCAAGAAAACAAAATCACCATTTTTAATGAAGATGCTTGTCAGAAATTGCTTAAAGTGGAAATCATAATTCCACCATCTGAGATCAAAGGAGATCGAAGTAAGTCCGTGTTATTTGATGCGTGTAAGCTTGCAAAATGTCTGAGATCAATGGAAAGAGAAAAACAGTGGGGAAAACAACAAAAATGGGAGATTATTAACCAAGTATGGGTGGAGATACTTTCATATGCAGCTAATCAGTGTAGATGGAATCACCATGCTCAGCAGCTTAGACGTGGAGGAGAGTTGTTGACTCATGTATGGCTTTTGATGGCACACCTTGGTATATCTGAACATTATCAAATATCACAAGGTCATGCCAGAACCAAACTGGTAGTGTTATAAGAAACAATATCTGGAGAGGAGTTGTGAGATTTGTAACGTTGGATGTTGTGTTTAATTTTAGAGTTAATTGCAATTAAGATCCTCAAACTCCGTGTTTAGTGTCTCAATTATTGATTTAAATCCATAGCTCCCTTAACTACAAGCACACTTGCGATACTTTGCACAAAGCGTGATATTATGAAGATAAATAGCGTACGTGACATTTTATTTCCTAGATGGACACGTGGCCTGTTTTAGGTCCAAAAGAGCTAGCTTAGAAGGGGAGCTACAATTCTTGTTGAGCACCGAGATATAAGAGTCTGGGGTATTATGAAATCGTGATTTTACCATGTGATGAATACAAGGTAGGCCATTTGGGGGGCGCCCGTGGGTTCTTCCTCAGTTTTTCTACTTCATCTACTGTTATCTCTAGTACCTTTATAACACTAACATGCTGAGTTTTGAGTTTGATTATTGCAAGACCATGTCTGTTTGATTACTGCAAGACCACGTCTCTCTCTAGTGTAGGCCTAACCTTAGGTGAGTGAGGCGCTCATCCAAAACCTCACAAAATCATAAATTCAATACTACTTAAACTTATTTATTAATTGAGTTAACAAGTCCTATTATTTTCGAGTTTATTTTGAGAATTTATATCTAGTTTGCATCACATAAATATCTCATCTCGAAAATTGTCAGGTTTTCGCATCTGACAAGTAGCCACTCCGATTAAGGACTGGCCGGTCTTTATGAAATAGCCCTACTTACAGCAAGGGGCGTGAGATAAGAGCCTTCTTTCTTGTAGCATTGCCACCTACCACTGTCTACAATTTTTTGCTCAATTTATTTTTGGGAAAATTTCATCCATCTCTTCTATAATTAGGTTTAAATTCAATGACACTTTCTCCTTATTTTAAAAGTTCACTGTCACCCTCTGTCAGTGTTTATCGGATTACAGTTTTAACGACGATTGTTAATTTATAAAAATACCCCTGAATATTTTATAGGATAAATTTTATCCATACCTTTTGTAAATAGACATAATTTTAACGACACCCCCGTAATTAGACTTATCTTTAATAATACTCACTTTTGATTCTGAATTTCAATGCATTCCCTTTTAGTTCTATTATATTAACCTTTAGATTCATCTATTTAACATTTAATTTTATCCTTTATTTAATTTAAACTAAATTAACATTTCATCTCATAAAATCAACACAAATTAATATTTAATTTTATCAAATTAGCATTTAATTATATTAATTTAATATTTTATTTCATCAAATTAATATTTTTCTTTACTTTAACATTAAAATATTATTTAATTTCATCAAATCAATACCAAATTGACATTTAATTTTATTAAACTAAAATTTAATATATTAAATTATATTAATTTAACATTTAACCTTATCAAATTAATGTTAGTTATTTAATTTAACACAAAATGAACATTCAATTTCATTAAAGCGACATTTAAATTTATTCAATTAACATTAAATTTTATCATATCAACATTNTAAATTATATTAATTTAACATTTAACCTTATCAAATTAATGTTAGTTATTTAATTTAACACAAAATGAACATTCAATTTCATTAAAGAAACATTTAAATTTATTCAATTAACATTAAATTTTATCATATCAACATTGAATTAATATTTAATTTTATCAAATTAAAACTAAATTAATATTTAAATTTATCATATTAAGACCAAATTTATTGTAATTATATAAAATTTTATCAAATAATAATTAAATTTTATATATATAAGGTTATATATGAAGAGTGGGCAGATGACGTGGTGGAGGATAGAAAATAGCNTAAAAATAAATTAATATTTAAATTTATCATATTAAGACCAAATTTATTGTAATTATATAAAATTTTATCAAATAATAATTAAATTTTATATATAAAATGTGATATATGAAGAGTGGGCAGATGACGTTGTGAAGGATAGAAAATAACNTTTATCATATTAAGACCAAATTTATTGTAATTATATAAAATTTTATCAAATAATAATTAAATTTTATATATATAAGGTTATATATGAAGAGTGGGCAGATGACGTGGTGGAGGATAGAAAATAGCAGAGAAGTTAGAAATTGATAGAATTTTGACATTGGCTTTATCGATTGTAATTTTACTATAAAAAAATTATTTTTAACTATAAAATAAATTTAAAACCCCGTAATTTATATCCAACAACAAAAAATATATCACAGAGGGAACTTAGGTAATATAAGAAAATAAGAAACTGAAAAGTGTACCTCTAACCCAGCAACTTATAAAAAATGGACTTAATGACTTAAAAGTCTAACGGGAATTTTGGATGAAAAAATTTAAAAATTGCATAAAATTTTTTTAGTGTTATTTCATGCATGAAAAAAATATTTGCATAAAAAAAAACTGCATAAGGACATTTTAGTATATTTATATAAAGAAGGGTAGTTTTGACATTTTTAGAGAATTTATAGGCAAACCATTATTTTTTGTATTGACAGAGTTAAAAATTACCGTTTAAGAGATGTCTTTGATTTAAAAGTATAAACCAGAAGAGGGTTTTAAAATCGGTAAGGAATATCATTAAATTTAGACATAACTAGAAAGCGTGTTGATGAAATTTCCCCTTTATTTTTTTAAAAAACTANAAAATAAATTTAAAACCCCGTAATTTATATCCAACAACAAAAAATATATCACAGAGAGAACTTAGGTAATATAAGAAAATAAGAAACTGAAAAGTGTACCTCTTACCCAACAACTTATAAAAAATGGACTTAATGACTTAAAAGTCTAACGGGAATTTTTGATGAAAAAAATTGTAAAAAATTTGCATGAAATAAAAATTAAAAAAAATTTCCATAAAAAAATTTTAAAAATTGCATAAAAATTTTTTTGTGTTATTTCATGCATGAAAAAAATATTTGCATAAAAAAAACTGCATAAGGACATTTTAGTATATTTATATCAAGAAGGGTAGTTTTGACATTTTTAGAGAATTTATAGGCAAACCATTATTTTTTGTGTTGACAGAGTTAAAAATTACCGTTTAAGAGATGTCTTTGATTTAAAAATATAAACCAGAAGAGGGTTTTAGAATCGGTAAGGAATATCATTAAATTTAGACATAACTAGAAAGCGTGTTGATGAAATTTCTCCTTTATTTTTTTAAAAAACAAGAAAAATTTACAAAACCAACACTTAGTAGACAGAAAAAGAGACATTCTTTTCAAAGTTCTATGTCTATCAAAAAGCAAGCAAACCCAAAGAGAACGTAATTCGCTGTGTTTCGCCATATCTCAAAATTTTCTGTTCATTTCGTAGTTCCACAAAAGGAATTCATTAAAAGCCCTGTGTTTTCCATTACCCGAGGCAGAAGGCTCAACTATGTTGTCCAAAGAACATAGATGAGATGATTACAGCTTCCACTTATTTGTAAGACTTAGAACGTTGCAATTGATGTCATATTTTCAATAGAATAATAATATTGGAACTCAAAATATCTAACTAAATATTCTGACCTAATGATGTGGCTAGTGATATATTCCCACTAAAAAAGTCTACCAGATAACTATAACAATGTCACTGAAGCATACCAACTTTCATGTCATTAAGTCAATAGTTTAGGTATTGTTTTTTTTGGCAACTTGCTGGCTGCAATCTAACTAGGCAGCTATGTATTTTACAGGGTCATCAATTATGTTAGAAATTTAGTTGCTTTATCAACAAATCTTTCTTTTTTTTCTCTTATGTAAAAGAGCTCCCCTTTTCTTGATACTAAATTATTCTAATGGTGGATACATTTTAGAGGTGAGGAAATGGTCCAATGGTGAGAGCTCACTTTTGTCCACATGTTGTTGTGGCTTCAACGTCGTCCCCTCCTCCAAAAAAAAAAAAAAAACAGAATACCTGATTGAAGCAATTTTGGGCAGAGTGCACACTGCCAATAAAAAAAAAATATCTTGCACAAATACACCACATAAATATATAAATTACACATTCTCTAATAACTTAAATTTTTAGACCACATAATGAGAATGGACTCTCTTATATTTTGAGTTAATCTAGAGTAAGACCAAACCTAACAGCTTGTGTATCAAACTCGAGTAGTTCGGTCTTTTATATAATCTTCAAGCTCTACCCAAGGCAAATGTTAACTAAGTTCCAAGAACCTTTGTTCATTTTGCCACTCCGAAAGACATCCTTTCCTGAGATTAAAATCTCTGTAGAAATAATCTCTACACTGAGAATTAGAGGATTGGTTAGTTTCCAACCTAGTTAGTTTCTACTCTCCTCAACACAGAAGTAACTTAATATTTCCAATATATCATTTGACTCGAACCATATTTTTCCTCTTGACCATAACATCCTCATTAATGTCTTGGTTTTGGGTGACAAATAACCTCTCCTCACCAGTAAACCTTAAATATTTGAAATAACACACTACCTGCAAATATCGATTAAACCCTAGGGACACCCGTGAGAGTTGGACCCATGACATCCAAGTTATGGGTTCGATGCAAGATAACGCATCTCAACTCTTATACACTTTCGAGAAACATGCTAAAGAATGAGAAAAAACAGTAAGATTTCTGTGGAAGACAAAAACAAAACAAAAAAAATGACTGAGAGGGAAGTGTAGACAACCATGAAATTACATAGATTAGGGAAACAACTGCAAGTTCAATATTTAGGAGTTGGGACAATCATAGAGAAGCAAATCATACTGCTCTGCAACAAACACGGAAAAACATCATGGATGCTTGCACAGATGTGCACATTTATAATGGTCACATAGGAATTATGGCACATACAGACATTGAGACATATACGATATAGTTTCCTACATATAGGGCAATGCAATAAGCATAATATTAGACAAACTACTGTTATCATAACGCATGAACAATCACAATGTATTTCAGTTCTCGCAAATTCCCCTAACCTCCCTTCATGTTTGAATCCGCAAATATGGGCACAACTTGACAAGTTGTAGTTACAAGGGTGTGCGAGGATATATCATAGACGGTTTGAAGCTGGAGTAACCTGCCAAAGTATGAAGGCGAAAAGGGGAAATCTAAAAGTTAAGAGACTGCATATCTCACATTACGAAAGTGAGTGAAATACAAAAAAATCATGAGCAACAACATTGTGATGCCCACGGTCAAGTTCTTTAAAGTTTACCTGTTGGATTAGTTAATCGGACTGATCTTACTATAAAAAATAAAAGATATTAGGAACAATAATAAGACTACGGAAATATTATAAGATTTCAACCCTATACCTTTTTCTTTTCCGCAAATGCACTCTTTTTATCCAAAAGAGAAGGGAGCCCTCCTGGCAAAGTTCATAACTCATGAAGACAACAAGAGAACCATTGTAATCTATATACCCAAAAAATTATGAGAACGGTGAAACAGGAACAACCTATACATCAACAAGGACAATGAACACATTTCAAGATTGCAAGCATATAATTCAAATAAATAAATTAAATCAAAACACCCCACAAAACAAGTGTCAAACGAATTAAGCCAAAAAAAATTCAAATCTAACACAACAAACATCAAAACGGAATTCTAGAGTAGTAAGAAACTAACCTTCAAAGTTCAAATCAAAGGAGGAACAACTGAGACAGTGAGGTTTGAGTGGCTAAGAGAGATGGAGCGATTGGTTGAAAGAGTGACAGAGATGGAGCGATTGAGTGAAAGTCTGCGAGAGATGCAATCCAAGAGAATGGATTCGGAAGACTAGGAGAGAGAGAGAGAGAGAGAGAGAGAGAGGAGGGTTTTGGGGCTTAAAACTAGAAGATAAAGTATCAAAAATCCATTTTGTAGAAGAATAAAAACCTTCCGATTCTAACAAACCAGAGTCGTGCGAGTTCCCACGGGTTTATGTAAACCTGCCTGGGTCATTCGGGTTTTCCATGGGTTTATGCAAAAATGGTTCAACTGATAAGCTAGTCCGGTTTAATCACCCGGTTCACCAGGTTACAAAGTTGAACTACTGAGCCAAGTTTAGTTTTAATAACAATGACCAAAAAGTATAATTTTCTTGTGAATTAACTTGAAAAAGAATATTTCAAGATATTTGCATGAAACTAGGGAAACTTACCATCATTTGCATGGATTTAAAAATTTTTTTTTTTTTTGTTTCCCCTGATCTAAAGGAATTTTCACATTCACCTACCAGAAAGGGTGACAATGCCATCAATTAAAATCCGTTGAAATAAAAATATATCTGTTACACATATCTCTATTATCTTAAGCTTTTAGAATAGATAGTCCTTTATCAAAATCAGCTCTTGAAACTTGAACACGGGGCAATGGTGGCAATGACAGAGCCCAGAGATACTTCCACAAGGTGTTTTTACTTGGCTGTGCATTGGTCTTTAGCATGAGCATCAAGAAAGGCTATCAAATTTACAAGGTTCTATTCATATATCTTGAAACAAAGGTTATAATTGGAGTTTTAGACCTGCTACTATATGGGAAGTTCTTTTTTACTTACAAAATATAAAGAAAAAAGGAAAGGAAGAATAAGGATAAGAAAAGTTAACAACCATTTTGTATTATACATTATTGGCCCCTAAATTGAGAGCCACAATCTACTTGCTGGTAGAGCAAGCTTAGAGACGCATGCAACTAGACATTACTTTGCAAAAGATGAGAGAGCAAATAACTCGCTGGTATTAAGTGTACCTTTCTAGGATATTTCTATATTTGGAAAGGTTACAGTGTTATGATCCTGTCTCCTGGGGAAACTATATTATTAGTGGAAATGATACCTTCTTCAAGTCATCTCCATTTTTCACAATGTTGGGACATATACTAACTCATGCTTTAATATCTCCTAAGCTTATGTTACCTACTATGCCCGATCCGCTGTATCCTTCACCTCCTGTGTCTACTCCTCCACTCCAAGTTTACCATCAGTCCAAAAACAAACAGTTTATTCCATATGCTCTCTAGTGTCAATGCCTAGTCCTACTGAGGTCCTTCTTATGAAGACATCTGCTATTTCTTGATCTCCTGGTTTGCCCATTGCTTTGTGAAAAGGTACTTATAGCTGCACAAAACACCTATTTCTATTGTTGTTTCTTTCCATAGACTTTACTCTTCTCTTCGTTGTGCTGCATCATTGTTGTATTATGTGTGTGTTCCTAGTTCCTTCAAACAGGCCTTCACATCGCCTACATGGAAACTAGATATGTATGCGAATATGAATACTTGATTGTTCTTCCTTCTAGTAAGTGGCTTGTTACCTGTTGCTCAGTCTATATATTGTGAAGTATCATCCAGATGACTCTGTTGAGCACCTAAAAAAATTATTGTTGCAGAGGGCTACACCTAGACATATGAGGTAGATCATTCCAAAACATTTTTACCCGTTACTTGTTTTAACTGTGGAATTCTATTTTATGTTGTGAATTTTGATTGGCCTCTATATCAACTATTCATTAAAAATATCTAGCTACACAGGGATCTACAGGAAGAATTTGTATAGTTCAACTGTCGAGTTATGTTGTTCCCAGTAAGGAGCAGTTAGTATGTTGTCTGAATAAAGCACCAATCCCCCATGCATGATTCTATAAATTTAGTATTGTTGTGTGCTTTAGTATAATTTTCAACACTCAACGTCAAACCATTATATTTTTACATGTCATTCTTCTACAGGTGTCATTACTCTCATTGTGTATGTTGATGACATTATTTTGGTGGAAATGACTCCACAAGTATTGCCTGCTTTAAGATCCATTGAGGAAAGCAATGCCACTCCAAACATTGATCACAGGAAAACCTCAATATCATGAGATTACGGGTGACATTACTGTCATTCAGCTTCATAGAGGTAATCTATCTAACTTGATCATCCACAGGATGACCTTTGACACCATCTTGAGTGTCCTTTAAGGTCACAACCAACCAATTAGTAACAAGACTGATCTAAACTCACGAATAGTATATAAAAATTCCCAACAAGCCAGAGAGACATGGCAACTCCCAAAGGCCAAACAGTATAGAAGTCAAACAAAGCAGGCAGTCCAGGAACTCAAACAATGACTATATAGAATCAAACAGAGAAGGACCAACCCAAACAGTGCAGAACCAACTAAAAAGACCATTCCAAACCACAAAAAAGAATCTGTACACAGAGTTTGACAATCTGAACACTGTGATGGCCCAAAAACCATTCCCAAACATTCCAAACACGCAGGGGTCACTCCAAACAAGATTTCTAAGGCTTAGCTGCACCCCTTAGAGACAGGTTGAAGCATTGAAACTGCTTGGATTATGCCAAACAAACGGATTGAAAAATCAACACCTATTTCTCCAAAAAAATTCAAACAATAAAACAAAGCCAACCAAATGGGTTCAAATAACAAAAATCACAATAAAAATCAACATAAAGAGCCGACCCAATGCCTTAATTTTGATCTCCTTAAAGTTCTAACGTCAGCATGCTGAACGATGATGTCAACAATCGATATAGTAGTTTCTCTTCATAGTCTTGAGTTGCATTTTTTATGATTTCTTCTCCAGATTGATGTTATGATACCACATTGAAGTGCACAGTAGATGAAAATTGGCTTTGAAATAGTAAAAGAGAGCAAGGAAGAAGAATTGTGAGAATAATTTGTCATTTATAGGATAGGTTTGTCCCCACATTCTATCACCTATTTATATTAGAGAACTCCAACAGTCATATTGTGCACTTTCAAGGAGCAATGCTATAGAGACCTAATTCAATGCAACAATTAGATTAGTTGTGAGTTCCCATGTTAGATAGAACCCACTTTCAATCTAGTGGTTGTATTGAATTAGATCCCCAAATTAGGTCCAAATAGCATTTTCCATTTTTGAGTAATTTTTACTTTTCTACACTCCACATAGCATTTACTGTAGATTTACGGTACATAAAATCAATTCAATTGCTAATTAACTAATATTGTCAAAGATTATTTAGGTAAATCAATCTGTAATACTGGTTAAGAAGCGAAACAAGTAATGACAGATAATTCCTGGGCCGAGTTAGATTGGGTTTACATATTTCAATGTTGGGTGGTATTTAGAATTGGAAATGACAAGAACTGGATTCGGTTTGACACAGAGCTAGACCATACCTTGCCAACAAATATAAAACCTCAGCAATCCTAACTCATGACATTTATTGGAAGTGGTTGATATTTATTACCTCCTGAAGCCTGCAGTCATTCCTTTCATTTCATACTTTATCTTCCTCTTCTTCAACTATTTCGCTATGGAATTGTTGAGCAGTTACAGTTCCTCCCTCCTCTTTCCCCTCCCATTCACCAGGCTTCCTCTGATCACATACAAATATCAAGCAAGTATACTGTCAATGATGCAAATGGGAGTGTGAAAAATGAAAAGGTTTGTAATCGAAGTTTCTTGGATAGTTCATTTGCATGCTTCCAAATTGCAACTGTGAGAGTAAAATAGACAAGCTTAAGTTTCAGTTTAGAAGGAATGAAATATCTAGCTAGTTACTGTTCAGAACAAATATATCTAGTTGACTGTTTATGGAATTTTTGGTGAAAGCTGCTCATACTCATGTCACGTGTCACCAATCTATCCTTTTCTTTTGCTATACTTTCTTCCATTTGCAGCAGGAAACTTTTGCTCTGCTCCATTTTTATTGTATTATTTTTTGTTTTTGTCTTTGCTTAGCAAGATCAAGATTCAAAAGCAGTCTTATGCATTATTCAAATTGCTATGATGCTTAACAAATGTGGAAGCATGGCAACTGTGGAAATCTGTCATAACTGGCTACTAAAAACTGCCAACGAAGCACAGCCCAAAAAGTTCAAGCTGTGAAGAAATAGTAGACATTTTTAGCAACCCATTGTCAGCTATGAGTGCAGAAGCCTCCTTACATCATACTCAGAAAGAAATTCTATCATTGGAAACTGTCATATTTACTCCGTATTTTCTCAGTTATGTGAAACTATGGCCCGCCATTTCACCCAAAAGAGGAACATTTCTTTCCCAAATGACTGATCTGTTCCTTTTTTTCCTCTAGAATTTTTCTGTTTTGGAGCTCGAGTCTGTGGGAACTTGACTAGTGTATTATTCTTTCACAAGGGTGCTGATTTTTTTTGGGTCAAACATGGGTGCTGATTGATGTGCATGCTTTTCATCTAGAAATGGTTTCCATTAATTTCCTAGTAAAGAAAATTTTCTTCTTATGCAACTGGCTAATCAGAAGTCTAAGCAGTGATACTGAATTCCCTTGTGTAGATATTGGCATGAAGAAGGATGATATGGGACACACTTATACTCTTTAGTCTGGGATTATCCTACTCATATTCTTTTGTCACTAAGATGAATAATTCTTTCATATGGTTTGGGTACTCTCTCGAAGGGTTAAATTTTGTTTGTTTAGGTTTTGCAAAGTTAGGATACATAGTATGTTTGACAAAATCTTTACTCCAAATTTTGTTACTGTGAGTTAAATGTCTAGAGTGTTTAAGAAGTGCTTATGCAACACCTCCCAAACACAGATATCATTCCTGCCTAGAAGAGTTTGCCCTGTAAGTCATACATGCTAACATGAATTTCATCCTTTTCGAACATTCTTTATAGAACTTCCCCTTGCAGGAAATTACATATTATACAGCACGTGTGGTTGCTGTATACCAAACTTTGTTATCATTTAGTTATGCACAACGGTGGCGAGTTTTAACCCTTCAAGCAGAATAATCGAACGTAATGCAACAGCATAGACCTACAAGTCAAAATCTGAAGGTTGGGTCCAATGCAAATCATGAGAACATAACGAGTATCAGCATTAATACATACTTCTTTGGATAAGAAGTGAACAGTGCTGTTAAGGTCGCCTTTCCACACCTCCTCCAGATACCCAAATCTTATATTATGTAACTTGGGTGTAATTAGGAGCCCCGCAGAGAAACTCTGCACATCGGGAAAACCTTACAATGTCACATATATAAAAACAAGAAGAAAAGAAACATTTCATGTTTCACAGAACTAATATATAGGATGCAAGTATTCATCAATGCTAAGTTGGTAACCCAAAGCTATACCACAACGAAAAACTGAAACTTCCTTGACCTGTCTCATGGGCTTTTTCACAGGCAACTTGTAGGATCGTGAAACACAAAATATAACTAGGGATACCAAAGAAAAATAACAAAGAAACTGAGTACTTGATATGATTAACAGAAGATTTTTTCCTAACAAAATTGCCAATACTTTTTGTTTGAATTCAGTCTCGAATTTTTATTGACAGTAAAGTAGTGGACCACAGGATTGGAAGTAAAAAAGAACTAGGGACCAGACCACAATTGATATTGTGACATGTCTCATTTGCTGTCCTCAAAATTGATCACCTGATGGAAAACCTAGTAAAAGATGGTAAGACTATGGTACAGGAAGGGTTATTTTCCGCACCGCACCGGAAGTTACTCCAAAAGAACGCCAAGGTTATGATTTAATTGGGTGATGTAACGATAAAATGGGATCGTTTGGGTCGGTCCTAGAATTAGGTTTGATCCCAAAATTCAAGATCAACCCCCATGTTTTTTCACAGTAGCTTAACCATTTTGGTATCATAACCTAACCTCACGTTTGTTTTATTTTTAGCAAGTTTTCCTATGGTACCAAACTTGGTGTAGTGATCTTACCCATGAAAGAGACAGCACATACCTGGTCACTAAAAAAGTGTTGTGTAGTGGTACTTGCGTCTATTGGCTTTTCTGTGAACGTTTTCATCAAGGGACATTTTTCAAGCATCAATTTCTCCAGTGATAAAAACTGTAAAGTACAATTCCCCTGGTAGAAACTTGTGAGTTGCAGCATGTATTTAATTTCAAGGGTTTGTAATTGAGGAAACACAATTGTGTCAACATCGTAATCTTCCTCTTGGCTTTCTGCTGCAACTATCTCTTTCATCATGTCACATTTGCCTATCTTTAGAGTTTGGAGTTGTTTGAGACCTTTCGATGCAGAAACAGAGAACAGATATTTCAGACCTTTGCATCTGTAGATTCTCAATGTTTTGAGATTCTGTAAGCTATAAAATCTGGAGGAGACCTTGTTCCACCAGATATGCTTCAGTCTTGGTAAACCCAACAGCCGAAATACCCTAATCTGAGGTAGTGTCAGATCATGATCTTCACATACCTCCTCCACCAAATCACAATCCCAAACAGAGAATTCTTCTAGATTTTTCAGCCACTCTCCCACACCAGGTGGAATAACTGTGATTAGGTTTTCACAGTAACCTATTGACAGTTTTCTTAATCTGCAGAAGCTCTCAGTGGGAAGCAATTGTATATGCCATATGTCTTTGATGTTGTAAAGTCCCCAAAGATCCAATTCCTCCAAGGCAGGAAACACAACCTGCAAAATTATATTATATTACCACTTGATTTTTGAATAATTAAGACAAATAGGATAAATATCAACTCTGCAACAACTCCTTGTGGGGAAAAAATAGGAGAGAGAAGAAGAATATGGAAGATAGTGAACTTCGTATACAGAACTGGGACAAAAGTGTTATCGATTCACCCACCTTTCTGTCAAAGAGAGGTTCTTGTGCAGGATCATCAAGACTGCTGTCTGAAGGTAAAATATTTGTCTTGTGGCAAAACCTCATGAGGTTTGGCAGACCCACAAGCTTCATGGACTTTAACTCCGGGAAAACAATTACATTCTCTTGTGCCACTGCTCCTTCTCCATCTTTTGCAAGTATTTCTTCCATATTTGAGCATGACCTAACATCTAGTTCTTCAAGCTGCCGAAGACCTCCTGCTATACATTGCCGAAAAAGATGTTTCAATTCATCACAATCAGAGATTGTTACAACCCTTAGACTGCCAAAGCACGAGTTTCCAATGGGATCATCCCACAAATTTATTAATGCAGGTAATTCGAATAGCCTCAACTCACGTAGTTTACAAAAAGATCTAGATGGGAGATGGCCCTGGCATATCTCTCTCAAGTTACACATGTAACTGAGGTCTAATACCTCCACCACAGGAAAGACACAAGGTGGCATCCATTCGTTTGTGTTAACCACATTTTCAGTCCCATGACAGTCATCAACCCTCAAACACTTCAAATCTGAAAATCCATTGTCAGTCAAATCACAGAGGACATTCCCCACAACCCCCAAATCCTTTAGGACCACTAATTGAGCCCTTTTCAACAGCATATTAACCCCACCACCTTCTAGAGCAATACCTTGACAAGTTTCGAGTTTCAAGTTTGTCGTGTATGAAGATGCATAATGCTGATCAAAATTGTTGCCTATGGTAATTTTAAATTCTAGCAAATTATCAAATACAAGATCTTTTGGATAAAGCTCGGCATCTGGGATATGCATTTCTAAGCCTTTTAAGCAAGATGAAGCTTTCAACTCTGTAAGGCTCGCATTACTTGTTTCCTTGTCTTGACTGTGAACACCCCAGTCCTTGAAACTGTTTCTCATGTATAAGCATTCCAAAAGGGTCCAGCTCGACATGACACCAGGTGGAATTATTCTTAACTTCTGACAATCTGTCAAATCTAAGAGCCTCAGCTTAATGAGTTGTCTGAATCCCAACGGTAATTCCACAACATCAGGATCAGCAATGCTGAGAATTTCAAGGTCCTTCAAATTTCCAATCACCGACAAATCTGGTACCTTGCAACTCTGTAGGCATAACGTTCGAAGTTTCTTTAAACATCCGAGGGAAGTTGGCATTTGTGGAATAGACATCTGCCTTATGTCTAAAACTTTCAGGTTTGTCATTGCATCAAAAAAATCGCCCGAAATCTTGACTGAATCAGATTCACATTGCAACAGCAACATTTCAAGGTTTGGACAACTGTTACCAGAGGAGAATTCTTGAATAGGATTCTCAATTAGTGAGATTACTCTATATTGCTCGATTGCCTTAACTTTTGGCCATTCTGTCAATTTCCAACCTGCTCTTATCAAGAAAGCATGCTCTCCTCTAGATGCCACCTTTATAGCAAAATCTCTAACAATATCATGCATTCTAATGGATTCTTCGACATTGCCATCCAATAGCAAAGAACATGATTTAAGGACTTCAAACATTGTTTGTGCTCCGACTCTCAATTCTACCAAAGTGCTGTTATGTTCAAACAACCTTAAACCCATTCCATATCTCACTATAGACTCGATCGGAATATCATAACCTTTTGGAAATAGACAACATAGCAAGAAAAAATGTTTGAGTTCTTCACTTTCCAAATAGTCGTAACTTAACTGTAGGGACACATACATATAATCATGCACGCCACTGATAGTTCTCGAGACTGACTTGTTTAGTTGGTGAAGTGCATCCTTCCATACAACATCACTCTTACCCCTCAAAGCTCTTGCAACAGTAACAATTGCAAGTGGCAAGCCTGCGCACTCTTGAGCTACCTCTTTTGCAATTGGAAGAACATCTGGCAACTCCTCAATATTACCTGCTGTTCTCTTGAATAAAGTCCATGCATCTGACTTAGATAAGACGTTGATGCAAAAGCACTTCTGAGCGTCCATCTCAACACATACACGTTCGTTTCGGGATGTCAAAACAATTTTGCACCCTTTATGAGCATGACTGTGAGGAATTCCTATAGCGTCCAAACTAAGGCTTTCCCACACATCATCCAGGATTATTAATATTCTCTTCGCTCTCTTTATTCTTTCATGTAAGCGACCTGCCCTGCCATAGTCACTCTCTACATCCATATGCAATCCCAACATGTCAGCAATTTGATCTTGAATCTTCCTAATGTCTAGCGTTAGGGACACCACTGCCATCACTACCTCGTCAAAGAGGTGGTTAATCTCAGCATACTTTGCAATTTCTTTGACTACTGTGGTCTTTCCAACACCCCCCATCCCCCACACCCCAATGATGTTGATTTCATCATCTTTAAGTGCGTCAACAATCATTGCAAAAGTCGATTCTCTAGACTCAAAATATACAGAGCCCAAGCTAGGCAGAGTTGGCAGAGGTGCAGGGACAGAAACTCTGTAGAAACTGGTTTTATTTTCGAACTCAGCAGCAATTGAAATCCCCTTCTTGGCCTTCTTGCTTACTTTGTAGCGTGACTTCAGGTCGGGGCACAATCCAATAAAGCACTTGTTGTTTACCACAAGTTCTTCAGCATGTAAAAGCTCGCCGTACTCTTCAATTACTATGTTCACCGTTCGAAGCCATTCGTCAACTTCAGGTATGGTGACTTCTCCATTTCTGTGGGCTTCACCAACTTTTCCTTGGACGTAGACTCGAAGTTCCTTCAGATTCGTGATATGATTTCTCAGATCGGCGATGTTGCGGTTGTAGTGAAACAGATATCCAACCTCACGCCCAATGGCTACAACCGGTTTCTTTACAAGTTCCGGAACAATAGAACAAGCAATATTCATCACCACCTCAGCCATTCTTTTTAAACTTTTTTTGGGATAGATTTCTTTTTTTTTTTTCTTCGACTTCTCGTAAAAATAACTCCAGAAATAAACAGATATACGAAGCGGAAATTTTGAAAGAGAGAATTCTACCACCAAATTGCCACCGACAATGAAAATCAGTGACAGAAAACTCAAACTTTTGAGACAAAACAGTTCACAAGCACAACACAAGTGATTCAAAGAAGAAGTAGAAGAACTGAAGACGAGAGAGAGAGAGAGTAGACACTGTAGATCGTCAGGTCAGATTCTCGGTGAAGCTGCGAGCAATGTACACTGTTTGTTCTGCTTCCTTCTTTCCTCCGTGCAATATATACTTTTTTCTGCTTTTGCGATCTGATCAGAAGTCGACCAAGACTTTTGGTCACGTTGGACGAAGATGAAGATGAAGGAGCCCCCACAGAAACGAAAGGAAAAGCAAAAGTCCGCAAGACTCCAAGTCTGCACGAAAGCAAATGTGATAATGTCTACAAGTTTTGAAAAAAAAAGGAATATGTCTCCAATTTTGTCGATTGCAATAATTTGTCTGGACTGTTTGGATTAAATATTGTGCTTACCGTAAGAGTTAGGTGTCGTCGAATTAAATAATTATGTGTCGAATTAAACAGATAAATAAAAAACATATAAATTAATATACACATTTAACATTTAATAAATAAATAAAAAATTTTAACACAAACACAAACCAATTTTTGGGTAAAAATTTTTAAAACAAACACAAATCGTTTAAAAAATAGATTACACAATACAACTCATTTAATTTATTTAAAAATAACAAAAATAATAAATAATTATTATTTTAACAAATTTTTGAACTTAATTTTTTTTTTTCCTTTGAAGTGTACTTTTCTCAAATTGAGTAATTCAACCATCAGCTGATAGCTAACATTACTAGAGCTCCCTCTACCTCTTTTATACTAAAGCTCTTATATTAAATTTACTTAAACATGTAATAAATAGATTGATAGGTCTTATTCGAGTATGATTTGTTTATTAAATGAGTATGATTTGTTTATTAAATGTATTTGACGAATTAATTTGTTTATTACTTAAATTTGTAAAGGTCTTATTTTAAATCATTTAATTGGTGTCGATTAATTGCATTATGTCGAATTTTGACAAGTCTAGTAAGATCATCTAGTAAAAACATCTTTAATTATTTTCGAAATTAACACCAGGTTCAGTCCTTACACAAATTCAAGTTAAAAAAAAAAAAGTTAATTATAATTTACACCCCAAAAATGACTCAAATCTTAATTTATATCTTTAAAATTTAAAATTATTAATTTACACCCTGAAAAACATAAATTTTTATCAATGTGCACTAGGAGTTAACTGTTGTTTATTTTTCATTTAAAAAAGTTTGGACTAATTCCAAATTACACCTTCAAAGTTTAAATATTTTACATTTATAATCCAAAAAGAATTTCATCCATCAATACTCGCTAAATACCTCTCAATTGTGACGTATCGTAATATTTTTGTGTTGTATCATTTTGTGTTGTCGTATCATTTTTGAGTCAATAAAAAAATATTTTTAGTGCAAAATATTTTTGTGTCGAGTCAATTGCGTTGTGTCGTATATTTCACATTTATGACAATTCATATAATATTATTTAAATTTTTTCTAAAATTATAAAATACCTATTTTTTCCTATAATACTCATTAAATAACTATTTTCTATCTAAAATTAAATATGAATCTTTTGAATGTTCGATCAAATTAAAGTTAGATACAAATAATACGATTTAATAGCTACTGTAGATAAAAAAATAGTTATTTAATGAGTATTATAGGCATAAAAATAAGTATTTTATATTTTTTTAAAATATTTTTTTGTGAATCGAACACGACACGAAAATGTTACAACATGATACAATTGAGAACTATTTAACGAGCATTAATTGATGAAATTTTTTCGATCATAAATTTAAAATATTTAAATTTTGAGGGTACACATTATTACTAACCCAAATCTAATGACAAAATGGATAACAGTTAGCAACAGATGCATATTAATACAAATTTATGGTTTTTAGGGTGCAAATTGATATTTTAAAACTTTGAGTAAAAATTGAAATTTAAGTTATCTTTTGTGTGCAAATTGCGATTAGTTCTAAAAAGAAAGGCAAAAAACTTAATTTGGCATAGACTTTTTTAATAGAGAAATCATTTTTTAAAATAAAAGAAACTCAAATTTAATGAAGACAAACCCAAATTTAAAAGAGGATAAAATAAGAACATTGTGTCACACCCCATCACGAGAGACCTATTTGGTATCCCAATGATAGATGTATAACTTGATACGTGATTAATGAAGTCTCGGAAGTTATGGCCCAAGTTCGGTTGTGGACAGGGGGTTGGTGAGCTCTATTAGGTGGTGAAAACTGAAGGATAACCTAATCGGTTTAGAGAGGCATAGGAGTTAAGTGATTCACCACTAGCCGGCGGACTGAGGTTACATCAACTGCAATTGAGTCTCCTGCTCATTGGGCATGTATATTGATTCTTTTCTGAAGTAAGTAGTCTTACAGGCGCTAGGCCATTACAAGAAGTTATATTCTAACTCATGCATTCTTGGGTCTTTGAACGCCCCGGAGGGGTTCCCATTGGCTCCTCTTATCTACTTGATGATTCTGTGGGGACTTTCCGTCCTTGTCTTGCTAGTAAAGCCCTGCCAGCCAACATTATTATACCCACAATGCCTGGGTCGTTACGCACCACCACTCCCCGCAGGTGGGTGTGACTATCATAGGTTTCAGAGAAGGTCCCCTTGTTCTTTTAGTATGCGTAGCGTGGTGGAATGTGTCTATGGTTAGGATTTGACTTCTCCCTCTCTGGCTATCTTTCGGCTAGGGCCGGACCGCCGGTCCTTTTAGGCTTTGCTTCTTGATATGGGTTGGTTAGGTATGCTTCCCTTAGGCCAACAGGCGAAGCAGAATGCTCTGGGCTTATTGGGCTCCATGGCCATGACGGCCTATACTTAAAATTTTGTCCTAATCAGTTGCTCCCTAGCCCCTAGTCACGATGATGATGTCATCTCTGACCTGGGGTTAGAAAATGTTGGATCGAACTCTATTTCTTTATGCAGTGAAACTATCTGGTGATCGGACCTGACCCGATTTTGGTCTGGGTCGATGTCTGCCAGTTATGGTGGTACATGTGTCGCCAACGGATACGCCCGATGGGACAGTTTCCTTGGCGTGTCCTGTTATCAGTCTCGTCACGGCTTAAATGCTGCGTATTAAGGGAAATCTTTTTTGCCTTTTCAAGTTTCATGCCCTTTGAAATTCTCTCTCGTGTCTTCTTCCTTCCTTCCGATTTCTGAGGTGCCCCNCCAAATTTAAAAGAGGATAAAATAAGAACATTGTGTCACACCCCATCACGAGAGACCTATTTGGTATCCCAATGATAGATGTATAACTTGATACGTGATTAATGAAGTCTCGGAAGTTATGGCCCAAGTTCGGTTGTGGACAGGGGGTTGGTGAGCTCTATTAGGTGGTGAAAACTGAAGGATAACCTAATCGGTTTAGAGAGGCATAGGAGTTAAGTGATTCACCACTAGCCGGCGGACTGAGGTTACATCAACTGCAATTGAGTCTCCTGCTCATTGGGCATGTATATTGATTCTTTTCTGAAGTAAGTAGTCTTACAGGCGCTAGGCCATTACAAGAAGTTATATTCTAACTCATGCATTCTTGGGTCTTTGAACGCCCCGGAGGGGTTCCCATTGGCTCCTCTTATCTACTTGATGATTCTGTGGGGACTTTCCGTCCTTGTCTTGCTAGTAAAGCCCTGCCAGCCAACATTATTATACCCACAATGCCTGGGTCGTTACGCACCACCACTCCCCGCAGGTGGGTGTGACTATCATAGGTTTCAGAGAAGGTCCCCTTGTTCTTTTAGTATGCGTAGCGTGGTGGAATGTGTCTATGGTTAGGATTTGACTTCTCCCTCTCTGGCTATCTTTCGGCTAGGGCCGGACCGCCGGTCCTTTTAGGCTTTGCTTCTTGATATGGGTTGGTTAGGTATGCTTCCCTTAGGCCAACAGGCGAAGCAGAATGCTCTGGGCTTATTGGGCTCCATGGCCATGACGGCCTATACTTAAAATTTTGTCCTAATCAGTTGCTCCCTAGCCCCTAGTCACGATGATGATGTCATCTCTGACCTGGGGTTAGAAAATGTTGGATCGAACTCTATTTCTTTATGCAGTGAAACTATCTGGTGATCGGACCTGACCCGATTTTGGTCTGGGTCGATGTCTGCCAGTTATGGTGGTACATGTGTCGCCAACGGATACGCCCGATGGGACAGTTTCCTTGGCGTGTCCTGTTATCAGTCTCGTCACGGCTTAAATGCTGCGTATTAAGGGAAATCTTTTTTGCCTTTTCAAGTTTCATGCCCTTTGAAATTCTCTCTCGTGTCTTCTTCCTTCCTTCCGATTTCTGAGGTGCCCCGTTCCAGGCCTCTTGGCGACTTAGAGCATCTTCATCTCCGGTTCTCTTCTACTTCTAGCGCTTCACTAGGTACATCTTCTCTTCCTTTTCTTTATCCCTTCAACCTGGATCCATTCAACCTTCCTTGGTGGGGCTTTGGGTTTCATTTCCTGATATGGAGATTTAGCTACTTTAGAGAACATTCTAACAACCTATTTTCCCTATCGTGGTTCGTAGATCACCTTTTCGTGTCAAGGGTACTCTTCTTTAGTGCTTGGTATCTGAAACCTCTATTTTTAATAGATTGCGCCTTGCATCTGCCCTCTCTTCATTTCGGCTTGCAATCTAAACTTTTGATGGAAAAATTTGTTGTTTCTTATGAGACGGAGTTTGTTAACGAGGAGACCGAGGGGGCCTCAACGGCTTCTTCTAACGGTCGTTCCTCTTCCGCTGGCGATGAGGCTTTGGGGTCTGTCCTAGGAGTTTCATCTTCAGCGCCTCCTATAGATGTCGATCCTCTCTCCACTTTGTCTCCCTATCCTCGCGCTCAGCTGAGGAAGAGTGAGTTAGGACTGCGCCACCCTCTATTCCTAGGAAGAGGACTCGACTTTACCTGTTCGACCTGTCCTGCTGTGCGGAGGATACCTCCAGCTGTCTTGATGAGGAAGACTTGGAGGATCTGAGGCGGGAGTACCGCTTCCCTGATTCTATATCTTTGAACTCCCCCAAGAAGCACGAAAGGTGTAATTCCTCTATCCCAAGCTTGACTTGTTTCTACGAGTCCGCGTTTTGGGCTGGCCTCCGTTTTCTTGTTTATCCTTTCATTCGAGATGTCCTTGCTTTTTATAATGTCTATCCAACTTGGCTCTCTCCTAAAGGGTGGGACCTTCGGATCGGTTTCCTTGTCCACTGGTTTAAGAGTGGAAACGACTCCCCCCTTCCATCTCAGAATTTGCCTCCCTATTCCAGCTTAAGTCTTCTCATTCCTTGGGCTTTTTGTATTTCAC